TTGATTACATTTTTTATATATTATTGTATATACTAAAATATTTGTTGTTTTAATCTGGAATTATTTATTAACTATATATAATTATTTCAGTTCAACTAAACTGAAGTAGTTGATTATTTTCAATTATTGTATTTAAGGTCCCTTCTGAAGACAGGGCATATATTCGTGACCAGAGAAACAAGATTAGTCCTGAAGTTATTTATCAGCTAGGAAAGGCTGAATTTAAATCTGGTACATTTTTTCTGGAAAGGTTAGTTTAAGTAGAGCTTATAGATCATGTTGAAATGCCTTACGCCCATAACTCATTGATTGATTCTGGTCACATATCTGAAGTTTCAGCATCCGATCCAGATGTTTTGGTAATATTTTTATGTATATTTGTACATATATATATATATATATATATATATATATATATACATATATATATATATATATATATATATATATATATATATATATATATATATATATATATATATATATATATATATATATATATATATATATATATATATATATATATATATATATATATATATATATTTGATTTTAGATAGACTCTTTGATATTTCATCATGTACTTGTAAATTAGCAACTGTTTTATGTAATGACAAAGATGTTAAGTGTAGCATCATCAATTGCCAAGTAGAGCACTTCTTGTGTCTTTGTAAAACTAGAAAGGTATTTGATTACATTTTTTATATATTATTGTATATACTAAAATATTTGTTGTTTTAATCTGGAATTATTTATTAACTATATATAATTATTTCAGTTCAACTAAACTGAAGTAGTTGATTATTTTCAATTATTGTATTTAAGGTCCCTTCTGAAGACAGGGCATATATTCGTGACCAGAGAAACAAGATTAGTCCTGAAGTTATTTATCAGCTAGGAAAGGCTGAATTTAAATCTGGTACATTTTTTCTGGAAAGGTTAGTTTAAGTAGAGCTTATAGATCATGTTGAAATGCCTTACGCCCATAACTCATTGATTGATTCTGGTCACATATCTGAAGTTTCAGCATCCGATCCAGATGTTTTGGTAATATTTTTATGTATATTTGTACATATATATATATATATATATATATACATATATATATATATATATATATATATATATATATATATATATATATATATATATATATATATATATATATATATATATATATATATATATATATATATATATATATATATATATATATATATATAAATATATATATATATATATATATATATATATATATATATATATATATATATATATATATATATATATGTATATATATATGTATATACATATATATATATATATATATATGTATATACCAAATACATATATATATATATATGTATATACATATATATGACAAAGATGTTAAGTGTAGCATCATCAATTGCTCTACTTGGCAATTGATGATGCTACACTTAACATCTTTGTCATTACATAAAACAGTTGCTAATTTACAAGTACATGATGAAATATCAAAGAGTTTATCTAAAATCAAATCTTGATACTCCTTACTTTTAGATTTACAACGTCCTCGGTATATAGATTTTACTCTTACAATAAGATTTTGTAATTTTCTTAAGATTGAATTTCTCTGAAGAAGAGGAAGACGTGGGTTTATTTTATTCGACAAAGTACTCGAAGAATTTTTAACCTCTTCTAGTAGATTCTGTTCTTCTTATTCTGTAACCTCAGGGGCTCCTCAAGGTTCAATCCTTGGCCCTATTCTCTTTTTAATTTACATTAACGATCTTCCAGATATTCTCACATCTAAAGTGGCATTGTTCGCTGATGATACTACCATTTATTCTTGTAACAATAAAAAGCCAACTACCTCTGATTGCTTGCAGGGGGCATTTGAGCTTGAAAAGGATCTCACTTTTGCTACAGCATGGGACTCACAGTGGCTGGTGAACTTTAATTCAGATAAAACTCAATTTTTTTTGGCTAATTGTTATCGCAATAATTTAGACCTTCCTATATTTATATATTGAACGGCAATGTACTCGATTTACGTCTCGATGTACGAAATAATCCTCCGGAAAATATCCCCCCCCCCAATTTTTTTTTTTATTAAAAATTATCAATAAAATAGTTATGTGTATTTATCTGTAAAATGCGAACTGCGAATCGCGAACTGCGAACCGGTAAAATGTGAACTTTTTTGCGAACCATCGTAGTTAATTTAGTGGTATATTTTAAGGACTTTGAGGCGAAAAAATTATTTAAAAAAAAAGTAAAAGGAAATTATGTGAAACTAGACTAATACAATATGAAAAAATATATATATTTTCTAATTATTTGATAGACTGCCTGCCCATACCAAACCCTCAGTCGATGTAGCAACACTCTGTTGCGAGTCAGGCTATAAGATAGTCGGTATAGCAACACTTCGCGCATGTTTTACTTTTAAAAAATAAAAAATTTATTTTAAACAAAACTTTAAAATAGATAATTAAGAATTGGAGAGTTTTTTTTATTGTTATTTTTATCATAAAAATAATGTTCTTTAAAATATAATGTTTTGTTTCACAAAAAAGTTCGCATTTAACCGGTTCGCAGTTCGCATTTTACCAATAAATAAATATAACTATTTTATTGATAATTTTTAATTAAAAAAAATTTTTGGGGAGGGGTATGGTTTTTTCTCGATGGGATTTTTTCTCGGGAATAATTTCGGGGGGATTTTTTCCTGCTACCAAAATAAACTGATGTGAACCTTTTAGTTATATAGAAGAGACAGGTCAAATCTTGCAAAAAGAAAAATAATTGAATTCCTTCACAGCAATGTTTTTAAATTTTTGGAATTTAGAAGTCATATTCAATTAAATTCAAGAAACGGCTCAACGCAATTGCATTATATTAATTGTTAACAGAGTTGATAATGCTGCCCGGCGGCAAAGTAACTTTCTGCCAAAAGGCAGAAATTTTTAACTGTTGACGGCGGCCTCCCGATCAATTTTTAGCGGCAAATTATTCTTTCTTCCGCATTGTTGTGTTTTTCAAATATTTTTACAACATATAATAACTAGAATTAATAATTTAATGTTATGGTCGAAAAATTAAAGTTTTAGTGTGAGGTAAGGGCGACAAAATCAAACGATTAAAAACTTTAATTATTTGTCATTTTTTGCTTAAAGCATTTAAACAAAAGTTTTAATTTTTAATATTTGTTTTGAAATAAAAATTACTAATTTATTCGAATATAGTAGATAAACAATCGCTCTGACAGAATTGTAATTTTTTTTTCAAAAATTTTTTTAAGTAGTCAATAAATAATATAAAATAAAACTTTGATGTCAAGTATTTAACATTTGTTTTTAGTTAATATTTAATTGCTTTAAAGTAAACAAGCAATTATTTTTCATCACATAAGCTTGCGGGAGGCAAATATTTCAGCCTCCAATTTGACGGCCGCAGCCAGTTAGGAGGCAGAAGCCATTGAAGGCGGCCTCCAAATGGCTTTGCTTCCAAAATTTCTTCTGCAGGCGGCCACCATTGGCTTCCGCCACTCTATTGGCGTCGGTCTCCAAAACATTTTTCCTCCAAAAAAGAACTCCGGCTGCAGCCGCCAATAGAAAAGCGGAAGCCACTAGAGGCGGAAGAAAGAACATTTTGCCGCTAAAAATTGACCGGGAGGCGGCAGCCGTCTGCTGCGGAAGAAAAGTGGAGGCAAGAAGATTTACGCCGTTTATCAATACTGATTGTTAATAACGTAGAATATAATTAATGCATTATATTTTACGTTAAGTTTTATAAAACATTTTGAAAAAAAAAAAAGATTGCATTACACTAGCTGATGTAAAGAAACAAGTGCTTTTAACTATGCATTTGGAATATCTGGGATATTTCCAATAGGACTAACCGATAGTATTATTACATCGCTCAATGAAGGGTATAAAGATGGTTTGTTGCTAAATCGGTAAGCAATGGTTGTTAATTTAAATTTTTGGCACACTTTTGTCTAACATATATTGCTATTGGATATAAAAAAAATTAATCATCAATCGTCAATATTATTCCCTAGATTTAAAAAAAATATATTTGTTAAAGTCAAGATGGTAGTCTGGATGAGAATCATTGTTATTAAAAAGTTTTTATTAATTTTTTGCACGTTAACCAATTTTGCATCATGTACAAACAAGCGAGTAATTAAAAAAAATCTTAAATTCCTGAAAACTTGAACTGTTGTAAATAGCCGAGAATCGAATTATACCTTTTGTATTTTCATACCTGATCGTATTCTACCATCATTGATTTCTTTTTTAAAACAGTCGGATCTTTTGAAATTAGAAAAAAACTAGAAAAGTTAACATTTCCATTTCTATTTTGTTGGATAACCTTTAAAGTTAGATATTGTTGCAACTGATTATTATTAATAAGAATTCATTATTTCTTTTGTTGATTTTTGTCAAGGTATACGTTTTGCATTAAAATGTATTGTTCAAAAAACAATTTATTTGCAAACAAAATCTTCTTGCGACGTAACAACCAAAATAATTAGAGAAGCGTCTGTTTTTGAAAGCTTTCATAATTTATAGCAATATCCTTTTTATTACTTAACTCAGAGCTCAAATTATTTTTTAATAGAGAAAGAGAACTGATACGTATAACACGAAAACAATAATTAAAACAATGAAAACATGTGTCGTTAAATAAGTAATATTTAATTATACAGAACTAATAAAATAACATAATACAACAACTAAATTTTTAATTAGGAGTCAGGGTTATTATTGAGTGTTTGGAAATTTGTAAAGTACTTTTGGGGGATGTTTGTAAAAGCGTTATAATGCAAGGACTAAACGATTTATCAAAATTTGTGTGACGTAAATTTGGATGTCTCCAAAGAAGTGAAGCATGTCTAACCACTATTTAAAATTTTCTTCGATACAAACAAAAGAAAATAAAACAAAAATATCTACATAAAATAAATAACAATATAATTTGTTCATTGCTTTTAACAAAAAAACATTTGGTTTTATAAAATATTTCGTAACTTTGGATATTATGATTTTAAATCTATTGCTTACACGAAAGAAAATAACAAACACTTTTGTGTTTAAGGAATTTCCAATCATTATATTGGCATTCTTTAGTGCAGTATTTGGCAATTTTACATTTTGAGCAGGTGTACTTTGATTTCTCTTTACCACAATACAAACACATGTTTATTTTAAATTTTTCAGACATAATTATTGAATTAGGATCATCAACTCTTATCATGGGTTTTCCATCTGCAGCTAATCTCACGTAAGGATCAATAACTGAAAAAATGCAACCAACTGGAAACATATTGTTTATTAATTGGTAATCTTTACCAAGATTATTAATGCATAACCTTGCAACAATTTCATTTTCGTCTTCGACTACAAAATGAACTGAAGTAAATAAGTTAACCATTGGAATGTTAATATTTGTAACAGTCAACACGCGGCCAGTAAGAAGATGATCTTTTGTAAAATCAATATCTTCAAAAAAGACTTTCTTAAGACCTACAATTGAGGATGGAACTGTTTGGGTATGCAATGGTTTGTATGTTATGTTACAATACATAACATATTCGTTTTCATTTTCTTCTACCATATCGAACATTTTTCGATGATTAATAATTGTTTCTTTTCTTTTGTAATCAACAAATAAATTATTACTTTTGTTACTGGGTTCAACTGTTTCTGGTAAACTTTCGGTTAGCTTTTTAGGGTCAAGTTTTGAAACATTTAGCCAAGATTCTATACATACTTTTGAATTGCTTTCATATGGAAGAAAACATGAGAGTTGAAGGTTTTCATTTTCGAGACCTTTTTTGTAATAAAATGTAATTTCAGATTTATATTTTGAAAAATCCTGATCCATTTGAACAAAACATAATCCAATGCCATAGTATGATTCTGGTATCATACGATGATCAACTGGTGCTACGGAAATAAATTTTTCATAAAAATGTTTTGCATCACAATTTTTAAGCAGTCGTAAAACAGCAGCTTTGCTGAAAATATATTCGTAGTTCAACGGATCCGATAAACAAGCTGACTCAAATGCTTTTAATGCATTTTCATACTGATACAAGAATGAAAAATTACAGCCTAGCAAGTGAAGCATTTTAGCATCACCAGGATAAATTTTAAGTGATGATGTAAGAAAATTAATTCCTAACGTATAATCACCACCGTTTAAATAAGCAAAACAAATACGTGCAAAATAATCTATGTCAGTCTTTTGGTTATTGTTTTCATGGATGATCGAGTTAACTATTTTTAATACATTAGCTTGAATGATGTTAGAAAACTGACAAATAATATGGCAGCATATAAAAGCAGTTGCAAGCATTCTTACAAAATCTTCTTTAATAAAGTTTTCATTTTGAAGCATATGAAGAGCACTGTGAAACAAATTATAAGCCTTAAGCATTTGACTAGCTGTTATTGATCCGTTTTTGGAATTTAAACGAAGTTCTTCTATATTAAATCTTTTGGTTTTAACTAGTATTGCAGATGGGATTAGAAGTGAATTTTCAAAACGTTTAACGTATTTTTGAATAGGAAGTAATACTTCATTATAATCTTTAAGATTTTTGGCATTTTTTATATTTTCAATAAGTTTCCTAATATTCCCATCTTCCATTTTAGATAAATACAATTTTTGAAGAGCTATTTCATGCCACTCTAATGCCCTATCTGCATCAAGTTCTTGAAGATATAGTGAAACTAAATTTGAAGAAGCGGTAACTACTCCATTTTCATGAGCAAATAAAAATAGTTTTTTAGCTTGCAGGATATTTTTTGGAACACCATTGCCATGTAAATAAAATAAACCAAGGTTATTAGCGGATTGTGGGTTACCATGCTCAATAGCTAACTGATACCAATAGGATGCTACTAAAATATTTTTAGGTACATAAGTACCTTCTTGGTAGAGTAAACCTAATTTATGTTCAGCTTCTTTAACACCATCATTTGGAATTTCAAAACCCATAAGTTTACGAGTGGGTTCCTGCTTAGCAGCCTCATTTAGCAGACTTAATGCAGCTTCAAAGTCTTTTTTAACCCCTAATCCACTCATCATTAAACAAGCTAAGCTGAAAATACCTTCTGCATTGTTACTTTTTGCTGCTTCACTATAGTACTTTGCAGTTATTTCATAATTTTGTTTGACATTTTTTGAGCCATCACGATACTCATGTCCAGTCCAGACTAATTTCAAAATAGGGTCTTCTTTAAAAAACATCTTTTTCTGTTTGGAATAAAAGTGATTAAAATTTCTTGAATTAGGAAAAATTTTTTGAAATTCTTGTGCCAATTGGTCGTCTTGCTCTTCAATTGAGAGTGGCAAATTTATAAAATGATCATTTCGATACTGTTCTTCAAGTTTAACTTTTAAAGAAGCTAATGTATTTTTCACCTCGTCATTATTTAGATTAAATGCTAGGTGTTTTTCATAGTATTTAACTGCTTTTTTTAGCTCATTTAACTTTTGGTATACTGCACCAAGTTGAGCATATCCTTTAAACCACACTGGTTGATAAAAACATGTTTTCTTTGCATCTGCAATTGCATAATCTAAATTAATTGCATTCTTTGTTTTTTCATAAAGTTTTAAATAAGACAATGATCGATTACGATACAATATACCTAGTTCTTGATTAGTTAAATTACGCAAAAGAATTGCAGAAGTGTAGATTTTGATTGCTTGTTCATAATTTTTAATCTTAAATTCCTCATTTGCAGATTCCTTAAAAAATTGAGCATTTTTGTCTTGTTCTACTTGGCTAGCTTGAAACCCTTTGTTATTTTTCAATTCTAAAACATACTCTTTAGATGCTCCTAACTCTGACATTAAAGGAGTCAGCTCATTTGAAAGCTCGTCAAAAGATGTATCTGTTATTTCTAATGTAGGTAAATGACATATCCGATTACGAACTGACGATATTTTTTGAATTAAAACCGAAGAATACAGATTTTTTCTCAAAAATAGTTTTGATGACAATATAGTACACAAAAGAGTAACATCCCATTCATTTGAGCATCCAGAATCTAAAATAGTTTTTTGTATTTTGTTGCAACTACTTCGAATTTCTTTGCCACCTCCGTTTATAAAAAAATCGTTTTCTTTTTTATCTGCCCATTCAATGTTATATATTTCTTTGAATGAATATAAAAACTTTTGACGAAGCAGTTTTGTGGTTTCTATTAACATATTATGGAGTGATAAAAAATTAGAATGCAGTTCATTCATTTTAATTTTGTTTGCTTTATTTAAATCTGAAATAAGAATAAAATATTTAATTCTAATATTCAATTTAATATATATATATATATATATATATATATATATATATATATATATATATATATATATATATATATATATATATATATATATATATATATATATATATATATATATATACATATACAGAAGATTCTAATATGACTAACATTACCTTACAAGGATATATTGAGCATTGTTCAACAGAGTCAAAAAAAGATGGTGCGCATCTTTACCTATATTCAAATCTTAATTGCATAGTTTGTAGTAATCTCCAAATTTATGCCTCCAAATTTCTAGAGTCTATTTTTGTTGAAGTTATATATCCACTTAAAAGTAATACCATTTTTGGATGTATATATCGACAACCCTCTTTAAACCTCACTGAATTTTTATCTATCCATTTTAATCCTCTCCTTGAAAAGTTAAGTCATGAAGCAAAAAATAATGTACTAATGAGCAAATTCAACATAGATTTATTGAATTATAAAGAATCACAAGTCATTTTTAATTATTTTGAATCTTTGTGTTGTCAGTCCTTATTTCCAACCATAATTCTTCCAACATGTGTAACTGCAAAAACTAAAAAACGAATTCATGAAGATGTTATTGATAACATCTTCATGAATTCGTTTCCTACTGATATAGTCTCTGGTAATCTTACAATTTTAATCTCTGACCACATGGCACAATTTGTTTGATTCCTAATAACCCACTAATTAAAAAAAAAGTAAAAATGTTTAAAAGAAGCTTTAAAAAATTTGATTCTGATTCTTTTATCCAAGAAATTTTTGATATTAACTTCTCATAAAAGAAGATGATAAGATAAACGAATCTATAAATTTTTCCCTTAAAAAATTTGAAAAAATATTAGACGGATATGCTCGATACAAAAAATTAATAAAAAAACAAATTAAACTTCAATCTAAACCCTGGATAACTTCTGGTATTCTTAAATCTATTTCTAATAAAAACATACTATATAAAAAATTTACTAGATCAAAAAATGTGAATACCAAAAATATGTTATTTACTAAGTTTAAATTATATAGAAATAAAAATAGCAATTTGTTAAGATATTCTAAAAAATTGTACTATGCATTTTTTTTCAATAACAACATCAATAATGTAAAGAATACCTGGAAAGGAGTTAAGAAAATTATAAACATCAAACCTTCTACTTGTACTAAATCTTTTTATCTCAAAATCAATAAAAATGTCATCTTAGATCATACCAGTGTTGCTAATATATTTAATAATTATTTTGCGACTATTCAAGACGAACTACTTAAATATACTGTTCCCTCTAAATGTGTTTTTGGCAACTTCTTAAAATACCTAGTACTAATTCTTTTTTCATTGATCCCATGACTGAAAATGAGGTGGCGAATCTCATAAAAGGTACTCTTAAAAATAAGAGAAGCCTTGGTCCCAATAGTCTGCCAACATTTTAATAGTGTTCCGCAAGGCTCGGTTTTAGGTCCTTTGCTTTTTCTTGTTTTTATTAATGATTTAAATGTTTCTCTTAAATTTTCTACTGCTTATCACTTTGCGAATGAAACCAACTTACTCCTAATTAACAAATCACTTAAAAAACTTAAGAAAAATATGAATCACGATCTAGCTGATGTTGTTCAATGGCTCCGCTCGAATAAACTATCTCTTAACTCTAAAAAAGCGGAAATTATTATATTTAAATCTGTTCAAACAAAAATAAATAAGCAATTAAATTTCAGATTAAGTGGGCAGAAAATAAATCCAGTTAGCTCTATTAAATATCTTGGAATCAAAATAGACTCTAATTTATCTTTTGCATCGCATCTTCAACACTTAGCATTGAAATTAAGCAGATCGAATGGTATTTTAGCTAAAATTCGTCATTGTGTTAATCATGAAACTTTGCTTAATATATATCATGCTATTTTTCACTCTCATCTCATATATGCTTGCCAGGTTTGGGGACAATCTAAGCAGCTTGCTTTTTTAAGACTAACTTATCTCCAAAACAAAGTTCTAAAATTAGTTTACTTTTAACATACTAATTCGAACTGTAGCATACTCTATTTTTTATCTAAAGTCCTTAATTTGTGTGACCTTATTCAGCTATCAAATTGTCTATTTGTTTGGAACCAAAATCATAATAACTTACCTCTTACATTTATCAACTTTTAAAATTGTTAATTTATTCTACGATCTGCTTTCAACTTTAAATTATCTGTACCTAAATACCGAACTGTTCATTACAACTACGAATCCATTAGTTATAAGGAAAATTGTAAACATATTCTACGATCTGCTTTCAACTTTAAATTTTCTGTACCTAAATACCGAACTGTTCATTACGGCTACAAATCCATACAACATAAAAGCATACGAATTTGGAACAATCTCCCTTCCCATATAAAATCTTTTAAATCATTCTCAAAATTTAAAACTGCTTTTTTTAACCATTTTTTAGACAAATATTGTTTATAAATCTATATATCTTTTTACAACGCGGAGTTTTTATTCATCTATTGTTTTTTCTTTCTTCTATTGTGGTATATTACTAATTTTAATATCATTTATTAAATTTATTATTTTAAACTGAAATGTTTCAATGGAATTCTCTTTATCACTATTATTGTTATTATTACTATATTTTTATCATAATGAATATTATTATTATTGTTGTTGTTATTATTGTTGTTGTTATTATTATTATAACTAATTTTATACTATTATTTTTATATTATTATTGTTATTATTATTATAGTATATACTTTTTAAAATCGCTACTATTATTTTTTTTATTACTAAAATCACAACTATCTTAATATAATTCTTCCAGTTAACGTTTAACGTTGAATGCGCATGGTTACGTCTATTGTTCAATCTTAGTTACGGTTCTGTATTCTGTAAAATATTCGCTAATAGTTTCCAATCTACTTCCGAAAATTCACGAGGCAAGCAATGAACATTGTGTCAGTTTTTATATTTAAAAATAAAAGTTTAATTTTAATAATAAGATTAAGTTGTATTTACTTTTAAAATGTTGGTATTAGATTTTTTGTTTGTTTATGCTCTAACCATTTTCCAGTTTGTTTACTTTGTTTTATTTATATACTTTTTTGGTTTGCTTTCACGTATACTTTTTTGGCTTTTCATAAATATTTAATATAATATAACTTTTTATTGAATAAATGAATTTTGTTCATAATATATAAATTTGATTTTGTATATTTTTTTGTTTGTATCAAGATATAGGCGCTACTCGACTTTCTCCCCCCCCCCCCTGTTTTTATGATTGATTTTTATAGAGTATATTATACTGATTCTAAATCATATAAAAACATAGGTCTGAAAACTTGAGGAAAGTACTCTAAACTGATGTTAAAGTATAAAAATCCACATTAAAAACGCTAATATTAGCCATCTTTGTCATACTCGATTATAATAAAAATTTTTTTCAATAAAAACTTCGAAAAACCCTGGTTTCTATTGACGCTTCAATTTAAAACGCATTTTTTATTGATTTCCTGCCCCAACCAAACCCTGACCAAAATCATGTACATTTAATTGCGCCATTTCCTAATTGTCAGTAGATATGTACATTTATTTACGCCAATTCCTATTTGTCAGTCGATGTATGTATATTTAATCGCGCCAATTCCTATTTGTCAGTCGATACATGTACATTTAGTTGCGCCAATTCCTATTTGTCAGTCGATGCATGTACATTTAGTTGCGCCAATTCCTATATGTCAGTCGATATATGTACATCATAAAATATAAAAACAACAATAAAAACCGGGTCGTTAGTTAAAAAATTAATTACCTAAATTTTAAAAACAGTGTTAAAATGTTTTTAAAAAGATGGTGGAATATTAGCGTTTTTTAATGTGGATTTTTATACTTTAACATCAGTTTAGAGTACTTTCCTCAAGTTTTCAGACCTATGTTTTTATATGATTTAGAATCAGTATAATATACTCTATAAAAATCAATCATAAAAACAGGGGGGGGGGGGAAAGTCGAGTCGCGCCAAGATATTTGCAGTAATCATTTGCATACATTTTTATCTATGTTTTAATTTGTTTAGTTATTTAGATACTTTAGATTTATTTATCTAGATACTATAAACAGTATGCATTTCCTTACATTTCTATTTATTTACATTTAGATTAAAATAAAATTTATGTTTCCCGATTTGTGATTGTTGAACCAAAGAAATTGTAGAGGTTTATATATCACACACACAAATATATGTATACATATATATATATTTTTTATACATACTATATACTACATATTCTAAAGAAACTGAATTTGATTTAGTTTTCACATTTATTCTCTTTCTTTTTTGCTCTTATAAATACTTTTCATGCTTCAAATGAAAAAAGCTTTATTACTTTTAATAATATCATTTTGATATATATATATATATATATATATATATATATATATATATATATATATATATATATATATATATATATATATATATATATATATATATATATATATATATATATATATATATATATATGCCATAGTAAGCCGAGGTCAGGTCGGCAAAAAACTTTATGAAAAAATACTTTATAAAAGAATAAATAAATTTGAGAAAAAATGGACTAAAAATTGGTTAATTTTTTTTCCAAATTTAATTTTTCAAATGTTAGTTTTTTCAAAATCTATTCAAAAGTATATACAAATACTTATATTGAACGAATATAACTTATTTTCACATATACTTTTTTTTGCATTTCAAAACTTTTAGAAATTCATGTCGGCAGTTGTATGCCGTCATAAAGCAAAAATAGATTGGCTTTTGCTTTGGCATTGCCAATATATATATATATATTATATATATATATATATATATATATATATATATATATATATATATATATATATATATATATATATATATATATATATATATATATATATATATATATATACATATATATATATTGTTTAAATGAAGAAAAACAACATTACAATAGT